ATAGCTCTTCATAGCCTATGGTGTCATTTCATTTAGTTTAAAAATCTAATGATTTCTTTCTTTATATCCTCCTTGACCCAGCTATTGTTCAGCAATAGGTTATTTAATTTCCATGACTTTGTGTGGGGGATGAGTGTTTCTGTTGGAATTGAGTTCCATTTTAATTCCACTGTGGTCTGTAAAGATACAAGGTATAATTTCTATTTTTTAAGAATTTGACAAGGTTTGGGGTGGCACCTGTGGTTCAGTGAGTAGGGCGCTGGCCCCATATACAGAGGGTGGCGGGTTCAAACCCAGCCCCCACCAAACTGCAACAACAACAACAACAAAATGACAAGGTTTAGTTTGTGACCTAGGATATGATCGATCTTGAAGAATGATCCATGAGCTGATGGGAACAACATATATTCAGTAGTTTGGGGGTGAAATTTTCTGCATATATGTGTTAAGCCCATTTGTTCTAAAGTCGTATTTAAGTCCACCACTTCTCTGCTTACTTTCTGCTTGGAGGATCTGTTCAGTTCTGCCAGTGGGGTGTTGAGGTACCTGACTATTACAGTGTTACTGTTTATCATATTGTTTAGACCAAGTAGGGTTTACCTTATAAATCTGGGATTATTTAAGTTGGGTGTATAAATATTTAGGATTGAAATGTTTTCTGGTTGGATCATTCCCTTGAACAGCATATAGTGTTCATCTTTTTCTTTACCTTTGTAGCTTTAAAACCAATTGTGTCTGCAACTCCTGATTTCTTTTGGTTTCTATTTGCGTGAAATACTGTTTTTCAGCCTTTCACCCTGAGTCTTGGTTTTTTCCTTGGGGGTTAGATGTGTTTCCTGAAGATAGTATATACTTGGCTTATGTTTATTTTTATCCAATCAACCAGCCTATGTATAGGGATTGAGTTTCATGGGAAATTCAAGCCATTCACATTTACTGAGAGGACTGATATGTAAGGTGAAGTTCAGTTCATCTTGTTGTGTATGGCTCTCTTGGGAGGAGAGACGAATTCCAGCCATTCACATTTATTGACAGGACTGATATGTAAGGTGAAGTTCAGTTCATCTCGTTGTGTACGGCTCTCTTGCTTTGTTTTATCACATGGGCCATTGAGGTGTGTAGGCTTTGTCTTTGGGTTTCCAGAAGTCTTTATTTTGCTGGGAGTCCATTTGTTGGTTTGTGTATAGTGCAGGTCTGAATACTTCCTGCAAAGTAAGTCTCACAGTGGCAAATTTCCTCAATGTTCTCTTGTCAGTAAAAGATTTGATTTCTCCATCAAATATGAAACTTAGTTTTGCAGTTTACAGAATCCCAGGCTGCCATTTATTTTGTTTAAGAAGAAAGTCAGCTGTTAACCTCATGGATTTACCCTTATAGGTCAGCTGTTGCATATACCTGGATGCTTGCAGGATTTTCTTTTACATTTTGACTTTGGCCAGATTGATTACAATGTGTCTAAGAGAAGCTCTGTTTGAATTTAATCATCTCAGGGTTTGATATCCATCTAGCAGGTGTATGTTGGAATCTTTGGCAATATTTGGAAAATTTTCTGTTATGGTATCATCAACTAAAGCTTCCATGTTTGGGAGACTCTCTTCTCCTTCAGGGATACCTATAATTCATGTTCGTATGTTTCCATAACTCTTTACAAGATTGCTCTCCTTTAACTGTCTTCTATTCTGCTTCTTTAAAGGACTGAATCAGCTTGGGAGCCTTGCCCTGAGATTCTTTCCGTTTAATCTATTGTTGAAACTTTCATATATATGTATATATATACTTTTTTTTTTTTTTTTTGAGAAGCAGCCTCAAGCTGTCACCCTGGATAGAATGTCGTGGCATCACAGCTCACAGCAACCTCCAACTCCTGGGCTTAAGCGATTCTCTTGCCTCAGCCTCCCAGGTATCTGGGACTACAGGCACCCACCACAACACCTGGCTATTTTTTTTGGTTGTAGTTGTCATTGTTTGGCAGGCCCAGGCTGGATTTGAACCTGCCATCTCTGGTGTATGTGGCTGGCACCTTAGCTGCTTGAGTTACAGGCACTGAGCCATTCCGTTATATTTTAAAACTCCCTGAATGCCTCCTTCAATTCTCTAAGCTCAGTTATATCCTTTCTAATTTTGTCCAGATCCTTGGAGACTTTGTCTTTCATTTTATTAACTTCTTGGGACATTTTTTGGACGTCTTCTTCTGACTTTCCACTTCTCCTTCTGACCTTCCACTTCCCTTTATTATACTTGCCATCCATAATCTGAAATCCTTTTCTGTCATTTCCACAATCTTTTTAAAGTTGGAATCTTCTGTAGTAGCTCACTCCACTGTGATCCTTTGGGGGAGCTGATCTGTTCTGGTTCTTCGTGTAACCAGAGATTTTTTGTTGGTTTCTCCTCATGTGTGGTTTCTTTTTTTTCTATTTTCTTCTCCTACTTTCTCTTTTCCTTCTTCCCTTTGTTCTTCTTTAGCTCTGAATTTTGAAGTTAAAATGACCCATTACCCTTCTAGGTATCCAGGAGAGTTACAAAAATGTTTTTTAGCAGGAACACTAGGTGGCCCTCCAGTATTAGAAGAGATAGTTGCTTATGAATGTGACGATCCTTGTCCAGATTTGGGGTTGCCTGGAGTTCATCAACTGGTTGTCAAGGAGATCAGGCCTGGGTTTCTTAATCCTGTTCTTGAAGACTTTAGGAGGTGGTGCCACAGGCCTGGAGGTACCTACCCCTGGACATTCAAGGATGTTGCAACGTAGTTCTGGGACTGGTTAGGGAATTAGGTGTCTTTGCTTGAGCAAAGGGGTTGTGCCTTAGTGATCCAAATTGGACCTGGAGATTGAAAGGAGGACTGTGGGGGAGACGGAGACCTCCCTGATCTGCTTGGCAGACCTGCAAGATCAGTCCAAAGATGGCTGCCCAAGCCTGGAGGCCTGAGCTGAAGCTGGCTACAGCTTGTCAACTCATACAGCCTCAGAGTACCTGAGAAGCTGCACAGAGTGGTGCTCACACAGGTATCAGCAGACCCAGGGCCTTAGTGATCTCCATGGCTCTCCTGTGTCTTGCCAAATTAGGGTGCAGGCTGTGTCTCCCCAGTGTTCATTAGGCTACTGGGTCCCTAGCTTGCCTGATCCCACGCCTGATCTGCCCTCATTCTGTAAGGGAAGCACTCAGCTAAAAGTTACTGGCTCCACCCAAAAGAAGCCATGGGATAAACTGGCCCTCCCTAGAAGGGTCAGTGTTAGTGCACCCAACAGCCTATGGGTCACCAGTTCCTGTTTTTCCCCCAACACATACACTCTCTGCCTGATGGGACAGCCCACCCAAGAATTGGGTCGATCCCTGGTCTACCCCCACAGGGGCATGTAGCGGGGTAGCAAAGGTTTTCTGGCAGCCCTAATCCCCCAGTGATTCCATGTGCCACTTTGCCCACGAGTCTCTTTGCTCCCCTTCACCCCCTCCTTCTGCTGGCTCCCCCCATTTCTTATCTTTTCTGCTCCTGGTGTCCCACACTGTCACTCTGTGCTTTTTACATTTCTAAGAAGGATGATCCAGATGGTGAAGGCTGGTCACACTTCTCACTAACTTCCTGGAAGAGGATTGGGATAACCTTTCCTC